CTAATCTTAATAAATATTAAATAGTTAAATTGTTTTTATATAATATTAAAATAGTATATAATAACATAAATCATATGCCGTATATGCATAGTGGAATCCACAAAGTTGATTCGGAATAGTTCTTATTATAGAAAGTGTTAAGGGGAAGATATGTAAGCCCATTCATTTTAAGTCTAAATAAAATTCTATATGGATTCAACTATATATGCTTATATTTTATTCTATTATTTCTTTACTATATTGTATATTCTGATCAAATTTTATATCTGTGTAAGTATTAAGTAGGTATATAAAATATATTTTTTAATATCATTTAAACTTTTTAAGATATTGCTAAATAATTAAATTATAATTATGAGTATTCAAATTTTAAGCTCCATATCAAAGCAATAGTACATAAGTACCATTTTGTTTGAACATGAAAAGTTCTTTTTTACAGAGGATTACCTTTAGTTTTACTAAACTATTTAAATTTATAGTTAAGGCATAACATGATATTATAGTGACTATAGTAGGGACTCAAATCGATCATTAGTCTATATGACCATACATAAGACCATATATACATAATACATTCAAATTTAATTTTCCAATTTATAAAATATTTAGTTATATTGTGTGATTAAGCTCGTATTTGTGTTGTACTCTTTAAAAATATAAATATAAATATTTAAAACCCTTCAAAATAATTTCAAAAATATTTAGATTAGTAAAAAATAAGGATATTCACAGAGTGATCCATTTAATATAATTTACTTCAAGTCATTGAGAGTATATAATTAATAAATTATGTTAATATACACAATATATTCCAGAGCCAAGAACCCTCCAACACCATTAGTCCATAAATATTTTTGCACAAAATTAATAGCTATGAATTTAATAATTTCGACATGTTCATTGCCAAAACAAAAAAAAACTAGATAGAATTGATTAAGATAGATTGTATATATATAGATTGTATATACGGCTATCGTGAATCGTGGTACAAGCATACAACTGCAAAAGAAAATATTTAATGTGACGTTGAGATGATATTATGATGAGTATTGCGAAATTGTTACAACACGTATTTATTGCAGTATGCATTTATTAATATAAAATAAGTATATTAATACTAAGTTAAAATTAAATAAACAAAATATATCATATCTGAAGTCGTTATTATAGATATATTTTTGAACTAAATACACATTTAAAAATACAACACATCAATATTATCTTTGTCTTTCACTTGCGAAACAGATAAGTGTTTTTTAATGTATTGGCTATATGATTCCCTTCACTGCTTTCAATACACAAACAAATTATTATACTACGGATTTACACTACAAACATTATTTCCATGAGCAATTATAGGGGTTCCGAAGACATTGACTTACAATAAGGGCTTCGACCGAAGGTTCGTGGCCTAGAGGCTGAAACCAAACACAGACACGCGACACTGTGCGAAACACGACAAAATTAAAAATAAAATCAATCATACTATCAATAACAACAACTTTTTGTAATTTCAAGGAATTAATTTTATTTAATTAAGTTTTAAAATTCAATTATTTTGGTTTAATGAAATTGAATTTATTAAATGCGCACATTAAAAGTAAATTCAATAATCCCGAAATACGTCAAAATTGATTTTATGTTTTTGTTATAATATATTGTTATTTTTTTTATGCATTTATTCGGAAATATCGATTATTTTGTTTTTAGTTATTAGGTACTATTAGGTACTATTAGGTATTATTATTTTTTACATCAAGATTTTCCTAGCCTGGTTCTACATCTACCTATAGATAAAAACAGAGTTTAAGTTTTAACTATTTTAATATGATGGTAATAATATTAAATGGCGGTGGTCAATTAATTGTTTTGGGTTAAATTACTTAAAAATTTAATAAAAGGTTCGTCGTAAATTGTTGTTACAACTTTTAAAAATATCAAAAATATAGCCAAATAGCTTTTTTTACAAGTATTTGCAATTTGAATTTTGATGATATTGCAGTAGGTACATCTACTTATTTATGCAAAACGTACAGGCAATAACGATTTACCTTCAAACGATTTTAGTTATTATGTTATTCCTTATTTTTCAAAATATATTAGTCGCAAGAACATTAAACATTCCTCTATATTTCTTAAATAATCAAATATTTAGACTAATTTTAACCTATTTATAAGCATTTTAAATGTTAGTATTTTTTAGGTTTTATTTTTCTATAAATGTTGAAAAATTATTCTACATATTCAAAATCCTAGAAAATTTATGACACGATTTCTCATAAGTTGTAATTACTAATTAAAAATATTAAAAATACACAGGTAGGCACAATTTTTTGGTATAAACATCTGAAGTTTTGATTTTGACAAAATTGGATATATTTTATCCGAACAATAACGATTAACAACACAACACATATTAAGCTTGGAGACTTAAAAATGTTCAGTATTACATATATTATTATTATTTTAAGCAACTTATACTACAAACCTAATCATATACCGTTCTACGCGTTCTGTATTGACTTATGTCTTATACATTATAATAACAATAATATATGATACCTACCTATAACAATATTATAATAATTGATAGTAAAATATATCCTTAGAAATAAGGACCACCCTCTACTCAGAATCGTTTTTTGTACCTATGTAATAATTTATTGTAGAATTAAAATTTATCACATTGTTTACAACAACTCACCCAATGATGAGGTACACTCAAAATCTACTATACAGCAAAGCAAATTCTCCAGTTTTTGTTAGTTGATTATGATCAATAATGATAGAGATAGTCAAAATTTAATCATGTCCGACATTAATAACTTCGTTTTGGCAATTTAACAAAGTGATCACTTTTATACGCAGACGTATAGATTCAGCATTTCAATTCGTTGGAAGGCATTCAGGAGTGCATATGACGTATATAATATATATAATAATATAATATAATTAACTAACATAGAAAAATAAACAGTGTCAAAATAATATAATTAATAATTATTATGGATTCAGAGGGGGGGTTATGCTCCCCATGCGTATACTCGCTCCTGATTATTCGAACAATAAATACATCGTGAGTATTAAAAGTAGAATTAAATTTTTACTATGAAATACAATCATTAGAACAGTGATTAATAGTCTAAAAATCAAATCGTCTATAGAATAACTGAATTTCAACTAGGTATATATTATTCAGATAGGTAACTATTCAAACAAGTTTTTAATTTAAGCTCGTAATACATTGAAAATTGCAATAGGTAATAATCTAATCAAATTTGTTTAACAAACTAATGGAATATATTGTGTACATACTACGTATTATACATAATAATCATGACATGAGCGTAAAACGAAAATGTGAAATTTATTAATTTTAAGTTGGCTTAGACAGACAAAACGGGAGAAAAAAAGAATCAAGCTATACTTTAGAGGTGCGGTGAGTAGGAGACCATTGTTGTGAGGATGCAGGCAGGTGTGTTTTATAACATCTGCCAACTGGTTTGGTTCACCTTACAAAATAATATAATCAACAATAAAGACCTACTTATAGCTACTTCATACAGTGTAACTGCTGCTGCCTAGTGTAAATTCGATAAAACGTTACAAAACTTTTCTAACCAGGCCAAGCATTTTTAATTTCATTCCATTTCAATAAATTATATTCTACATAGGTACAAAAAATATTTGAACGTAATCGAATAAACCTTTATTACGTGCATTTTCCGTATGTAAGGACTAAAAATGGTTGTTTTGTTCGAATTTACAAAATTTAGTTATTTTATTAACATAATATAGATATAGAATATCACGGACACCCAGTCATTCCAAGACGTTCCAAATCCTTTACCAGTTACATCGGATGATAGGGGTCATACACCTCAGTACATGGAAATTATAACATGCCATTATAATAAATTGGTGTTTATAATATTTAAATAAATGGCAAAACAAGTTCAAATCGCCATCAACATAATTTAAATTAAATATATACATAGTAGATATTTATAATATATACGTATGTATATATATATATATATGTATTATAGTGGAGCAGTGATAAAAAAGAATGATAGGTTAAGTTCACCCGGGCCTATAAAATTAGTGAAATAGAAAATTGATTAGAGCATACGTATTTTTTTAAAGTGTAATTTTATCTTAATGATTTGTAATTTAAACTAAATACAACGATGCAATGAACTTTATTTATATTTACATTGTATTATTCTGGAGATAATCTCTAAAGTGTACAACTTTAGCTAAATATACAAATATACAATAACCAAAGAACAATGTAAACTTATATTATTTTATTAAATCAAAAACATTTTAAAACGTCGAATAATAAAACATAATTCGAATCAAAGACTTTTATTCAGACGAAAACAACGCAAACGGCAGTCGACATATTATTATAAAGTCAAGATAATTATAGTCGTGATGTTATAAGCTCTATTTTTACAAACACGCTTAAAATTGTTCGAACTCGGCTATTATACCACAAAGGAATCATTATATAAGGAACCTCTATTGTTGTGTCTCGTGTGCAGTACGAAAATGCAAATGTAGTGAAATAATAGTGAAGCTTATTGAAATGAGTGGAATTTTCCAAGAACTGATTATAAAACTTCTCACATCCAGAAACTATAAGCTTGACTGTAGAAAAAGCTAAAAAGCTGCCGAGTATGCAGAAAAAGAGTGAGGTTCTCTTCTAAATAGGAGCTGATGTATTATATTATAAAGTTGATATTTTGAACCACAGATAATATGACATTCGAAAAGCATAATAAACTTATTACATATATACTATACAGGTACAATAAATTATGCGCAGAAAGCTCGAATATTATGATGCAGCTAGTGCATAAAGCAGACAGCGGTCGATACAAGAATATAATAATGTAATTGTTATAATATTATTCACGACGGCATCATTCCGTGTACCTCCTCCACATTATAAATATATAAATATAGAGAAGTGAAGATAATTTCGAATATACCTGATGTTTTATAATACTATCATCATCGGGCGATGAGTATATCAGTCGACCGTACGAATATTTGCAGTGCTCTTTGTCGACGTCGTCGTCGCCGACGCGGTCATGCTGCAGCTGCAAGTCGACCGCGCCGCCGTCGGCGTGACAGTACGACTTATTGTTGTAGCCGCCGTAACCGTCGAGCTGCGTGAGAGCCAGCAGACCGATTCCGGTTGCGCCCCCTTCGTCTTTGCAACGGACACCGATACCGCCGCCCACGATAACGCCGCCGCCACAATCACCGATGTCTGCCACGGCGGTGGCGTTACCGCAACCGCCGGCGGTATCCATCACCGTGGAACCTGAGTCAACCGGTGGGGAACCGTGTTGCAAGCAGTCCACGGGCGTCATGTGGGGTTCTGGTTTCACGTCCACTTCGAGTTTGATGGGGCTGTAGGGGGCCGCGCCGGCCGAAAGCCTGAGATAAAAATACGGGTCGCCCCCGCAGGGCGTCTCGTCTTCTCTGGTACGGTAGTGGTGCATGCCGGCGGCTGGCGATGATCTTCACTCCGGCGGTCGAGGTGGTGATCGTACTATATAATATTATAATATGGTACTACGAAAATCGTACACGACGGTCACCCTACTCCTCCTACGCCGCCTGCCTATTCAACACCACCCTCTTGGGCCGAATTTTTTTCTGTTCCCCCGTCACAAGCGAAATACGCTACACGACGATGATGTCGACGACGGGGCGCGCACAGATGGTCGCTGTGCGGTACACACGCGCACGCACACGTCAGATACACTCACACACACACACACACGCGCGCGCGCGCGCGAAACGACACACGGACACAGCGGCGGCACGACGACGACGGAAACAACGCACGCAGCACGTGACGACGACGTACGAGAGGTCTCCCCGTCTGCGTCTCTATTGAATGTCTCTCACTCGCTCTCACTCACCGCGCGAAGCCACGCACTGCTGGGCGGGGACTAGGAGGACGGCTCCGGCATCGTGTCCATTGTCACGGAAAGCCGCCGTTACACTGAAACGCGGGCCGCGCTGTTACGGCGAAGGAGCAACAGGCTCTACGTACGAACACACGATGCGATACGAGCGCGCGCGCAAACGTGTGCGTGTGCGTATGCTTCGTATATTATATATATATATATATGTATGTATACGCCACCACCTCTAAGCCGCCGCCGCCGCACTACCACCTGCCTATGCCATCGCCGCCGCATAAACTATACCACTATGTATGTATATATAAGTGTGTGTGTGTATATATATATATTATATACATCGGGCATATGGCGAGTGTATATAATATATATAAATATATATATTCCATGCGACGTGCGTTTATATAGTAATACGCAGAGGATATGCACTAAAGTAATACGACGATCGTGTGTACAGACCCCTCGCGCAACACTGCTGCCAACCATCTCCTCTTAGCTCTGCGCTTGCCGCCGCCGCCGCTGCTGCTGCTGCAGCAGAACTGCCGCGGGATAAAAAAAAATACACCATAGATATAATAATACTAATACATAATGTATTTTATGTAGTATGTACGCGCGGGTCTCATCGTAACAATATACACGACACGACACAATCATCGTCGTACCTAACTATTTTTTTTTCTCCCGAACAATAACGCGTTTAATGAATACGTTTTTTTTATATTTCAAACACCGTGTAAACGTTTCGATTAATATCACACACACACACACACACACACACACGCACGGCGCCGTAAGTCACAAGTAAAAACGAATACATACAGATAACCGTCGTCCTATCCTATGAATTATAAAAGACAATATTTCTGCGGCACCGTTCGTCGTTTTGCCGGACAGCGTTATACGAACACAATTTATTGTTTCATATATGAAATACTGAACGTCTATCTCGGAATTGAATTCATCTACTTTATGTCATTAGGATCTATTGTTAATCAACCGTTCAACCGTATTGAGATGAATTAATATTTGTTAAAATATTATAACTTAATTTCAACCAATACCACCATACTCGGCAGTAAATTATAAAATTGCAAGTTTAAAATACTAAACAGACCAAAGAATATTATAACTACTATAAAAGCTAGGTTCACTTAATACTATTAAATTTCGATCTTTTGTAATTACATAGTTATATAGTAACAAGTATACACTTGCGTCTTACATAAAATACATTTTTTTTTTCAATGGTATGACTTCAATTGTGTATTTCGATCTTACACTGACACGATGCTAATTTGCAATGAAAATTAAGCTAGGTATATACTTAAAATAACCTAATCAGCATGATGAACTATTTGAAGATGATACAAATCTGCATTACGCTATTCGTATATAAAATATGGTATGCATTTTAAAGCCGTATACGTATTTTCTAAGCAGACAACGGGGATGAAATTTAATAGCAGACATTGGCAACCAAGTATAGGCATTATAACACTATCCCCCTCGATGGTATGGTTAATGTAGAAATCAGATATTCAAGATCCTCATATCCTGCATCATAATATGAAGGTTCGTCTTACATAATTTTACAAGGGTTCCTTACCCTATTAAACAAAAACTAGATTTCAAAGATAAAAGCTTTTTACGTCTATTTTATGTAACGTTCAACTGAATAATATCATACTGTTAGTAAATTGTTTAAACATTTTTTAATAATTATAGACAAAACCAAACGCTTTTACAAATAAATAAATACCAAGTTACTACAAACTACAAATATATAACCCTTTCAATAGGTAATAGCCTAGAATCGACAAATTAATATTTATTGTGTTTAATGATAATTATTGTTATTTTATTCATATTCTATAATAAAAATATGTCAATATACATATATATAGTATATTAAACCTCACCTAGTATACCTATATATGTATGATTACGTACGTATACATGCGTAATGTCTGTTTTATCACAACGGATTCAATGTTTTTAAAAAACAATGATTTTTCTATTAAAACAGTATCTTTAATACAAATTACTTTTAATTCGTAAAACAAAAGACTCTTTTCATTAATTTCCTACTTATAGTAACCATACTTTTCTTCCAAGATTAACGAAATTATTATACAAAAACTTATTTCATCAAGTCATCGTGAAATGGGTGTGCCGTTAAAAATTAAGATTTCATTCATTAAAACTAAAGAGCCCTTGTCGTTCAAGGCATTGGTCATGGGCCAGCATGAGCAGGAGGAAAGTGGTAGACGCACCATGACGGCGGTGTTGTCTGAATAGTTACAACCGAACACTGTATGCTGCCACGGTGTATCCTACCTACATCGGATGCCACTTTGCCAGATGTTTCTAACTATTGAACTACTGGTCCTTTCTTGCTGCGCTACAAAAATTATATTACTGCTACACACGTATATAATAATAATATTGCACTACCCCATCGCCGCGGAGGCCGAAAAGCGAACATACGTGAGAGCACGCTTCAAAGACCGACAAAAAAATGGAACGTTTTGGTAAACCCGTGCACAAAAAGAATAAGGGGACCAAATTCTATACAATATTTATGAAAAAAAAGGTTACTAAATAACATTAAAAATCAACATTTGTTACGCAGCATCATACAAATTCCATAAATAATATTCAGTCCGGCGTTGGTTTTTATGAACCTGGATCTCACTCAACCAACGTACTTAAAAATCATCATATACGTACTATATGTACTAATAGTAACCAACGTATAATGCAAATAATTATTGGTTATAAATTAAATAATGTATACTGTATTAATTATAGAATTGTAAATAATTTTGCTATGGATATACTGGACATCTAAATACTTATTCAAAATAAATAATTACTAAGGTATCTTAAATCTGAACACATTCAAATTAAAGTTGAATTAATTTTCTATCTCAATGAAAATCTTATTCACAAGTAATAAATATCGAATAGAGCATTATTATTTATATAATATTATGTATAATAACTAGGCACTCCAAATTAATAACGTTTTATCAAATTTTAACAAAAAATTATTCACATACAACAAATAATATGTATAGGCTTCGTTTATAATTCTCGTATACCAAATCTTGCACCAATTTTAATCAATAAATTATATATTACGTTATTAGGTAATGATCATTGATAACATACAATTTTAATATTGAGTTTTAAATATATAGGGATTTAAATAGGTAATTAGATAAAGCAATAATGAATGTACAGAATACATTATAAATAAAAATATAATGGATAAATCCGAGATTCGGCCAAAATATTTTTCGATTCTCGAACTTAGTAAATATTATTTTGTATTCGTACAATTTATTTATAGCTATAGCTTATGATTTATAAACACATACATAAATGTAATTGTTTCTAATTCTAATTTAAGACTAATTTTACGTACATGTAATATCTTAGACAAATTGTAATGAAACATATTTTATTTAATGAGAGGTATAAAAAATTTACCAAAATTTTCTACAAAAATTAAAGAACGATTAAATTGTTTTTACCAAAAACGTTGGTATTGGAAGCTTTATTTTCTAAGTTGTACCTATTGAACCAATATACATTTAAATTACACATTATTGCGGATATTTAATTTATTGACATGTTAAAAACTAGAACAAAGGAATTGCTAAGAGTACGTGCTTGTTAAGCTGTATAAATAAAAACAAGTGTTTTTAGTTTTCTTTGTTGGAGTTAAATATGAAGAACCATACACGGTAAACATTACTTACCAATGGGCAATGGATCAAATAAGTATAACTTAAAGCAAAAAATATGTCTTTGTATATTTTTTATTTATTAGAAATGTATAATACTGTTCAATTTCTAAAATTAATTGTTAATAATTTCAAAAAATAAAATATAAGTTAATTTTTAATTTTTAATTTTTAAAAAATATTTTTTTTAATATTGAAAAATAAAAAATAAAATATAGCTTATAAATTAATTTCTAACTTCTACTAATTAAAAATATATATAAATGTATACCTACATAATATAAGTTATTACTATAATTATAATTAATAACTAATCCGATAACTTCGCAAGATTTAAAAGAATAACACTAGAAAAAACTGTGATCAATTCTACAATAACACACAATAGCACACTACATGCATGCGTGCATACATGTGCAGAGTATAATTCTTTAAGCCACTAAAAAATAATAATAAACCTCAAAAGTTATCTTAAATTAAAGTTGCAAGACCAGGTATATCAAAAATGTGTATTGAAAGTTGGGACTCTAAGAAACAAATTATATTATACTATATTATATAGATTATAGGTACCATATACCAAAAGTATTATCCTACATTTTCAATTTTTTTAGTTTTTGTATCAAAACACAGACTAAAAATAATAAAACAATGAACTAATAGTAAAATATTACCCAATGATGGGGGACTTCAACTTCTGATGGCTCTGCTGGTGGCGAGTCTATACTCTGTAAATAATAAAAGTATATATTAAACTGAGTGATACGAAACAATATTTTCAATTTTACACTTATTATCTATTTTTCTATAAGATTGTAGATCAATACCAAAATATTTTTGTAAGCCTATTAAATTAATTTAAAAGACGCCAAAAAAATAATATTGCCAAGTTTTTAGACATGGCGTATTTTCATATTGTATCCTATAGAACCCAATTTATAAGGGTAGATGGTCGATATTATCAGAGTAGCACTAGCTTTAGATATACGCAGATGGATGCGGTAAAATGATACTATTCAATGGTAAAGTTAATATTTTAAATTAGATTCTGAGCAAAACAACCGAGATGAATGTACTGGTCTTACAATGAAGTTTTATAATAGAAAAATTGCTGTGATCTTCAATATCGAGAGAGGTTTCTACCGTTTCTGGTAGAAAATTGAAGTTAATTTGGATCAAACGTAGAAAAGTCTCAGTATTGTTCAAAATAAACATGAAAAACAAAAAAAAATTTAAATGGAAATATTATGGCAAAATCTGTTTTTGTTGTAGTTCTAATAAAAAATAACAGTACACTTAAAGTGTTCAAAAAATGTTGTATATAGGTACCTAT